AGAGAAACCCGGATTTAGACCAGCTGAACGTCCTACACAAAAGAGGCCAGAGGATAATTTGCGCCAGAAGGTGATTTTGAAAGACCAGAGAAGCCCGAGATTTAGACCAGCAGAGAGACCAAAACCCAAGAGACCAGAAGATAATTTACGTCCAGAAGGTGATTTCGAACGACCAGAGAAGCCCGGATTCAGACCAGCCGAGAGACCAAAAGCCAAGAGACCAGAAGATAATTTACGTCCGGAAGGTGATTTCGAAAGACCAGAGAAACCCGGATTTAGACCTGCGGAACGTCCTACGCAAAAGAGGCCAGAGGACAATTTACGCCCGGAAGGTGACTTTGATCGTCCAGATAAACCAGGTTATAGGCCAGGTGAAAGACCGAAGCAAATCAGACCAGAGGATAATTTACGCCCAGAAGGTGATTTTGAAAGACCCACTCCGACCAAAGTTCATCCTGGTGAACGAAGGACACCAATCAAACATAATGACAATCTCAAACCGGAAGGCGACTTTGATCGTCCAGATAAACCTGGATATAGACCAGGTGAAAGACCGAAGCAAATCAGACCAGAGGATAATCTGCGACCAGAAGGTGACTTTGAAAGACCAGAAAAACCTGGATTCCGACCAGCAGAAAGGCCGAAACAAAAACGCCCTGAAGACAACTTACGCCCAGAAGGTGATTTTGAAAGACCTTCTCCAACTAAAATTGGCCCTGGAGAACGCAGATCACCCATTAAGCACAGTGATAATCTCAAACCTGAAGGAGTGTTCGATCGTCCAGATAAACCTGGTTATAGACCAGGTGAAAGACCGCAGCAAATCAGACCTCAGGATAATTTGCGTCCAGAAGGTGACTTTGAAAGACCAGAGAAACCTGGATTCAAACCAGCAGAAAGGCCTAAACAGAAACGCCCCGAAGACAACTTACGTCCAGAAGGTGATTTCGAAAGACCTTCAACAACTAAAATTGGACCTGGAGAACGCAGATCACCCATTAAACACAGTGATAATCTCAAACCTGAAGGAGAGTTCGATCGCCCAGATAAACCTGGTTATAGACCAGGTGAAAGACCGCAGCAAATCAGACCACAGGATAATTTGCGTCCAGAAGGTGACTTTGAAAGACCAGAGAAACCTGGATTCAGACCAGCAGAAAGGCCTAAACAAAAACGCCCAGAAGACAATTTACGTCCAGAAGGAGATTTCGAAAGACCTTCACCAACTAAAATTGGTCCTGGAGAACGCAGATCTCCCATTAAACATAGCGATAATCTCAGACCTGAAGGTGATTTTGATCGTCCAGATAAACCTGGTTATAGGCCAGCTGAAAGGCCGAAGCAAATAAGACCAGAGGATAATTTGCGTCCAGAAGGTGACTTTGAAAGACCAGAAAAACCTGGATTCAGACCAGCGGAAAGGCCTAAACAGAAACGCCCCGAAGACAATTTACGTCCAGAAGGTGATTTCGAACGTCCAGAAAAAACAGAATTTAGACCTTCTGAAAGACCTAAAGCAAAGAGACCTGAAGACAACTTACGTCCGGAAGGTGACTTTGAAAGACCATCACCTACGAAAATTGGCCCTGGAGAACGCAGATCGCCCATTAAACATAGTGACAATCTTAGACCTGAAGGAGATTTCGATCGTCCAGATAAACCCAGTTATAGACCTGGTGAAAGACCGCAGCAAATCAGACCAGAGGATAATTTGCGTCCAGAAGGTGATTTTGAAAGACCAGAAAAACCTGGATTCAGACCAGCGGAAAGGCCTAAACAGAAACGTCCCGAAGACAATTTACGTCCAGAAGGTGATTTCGAACGTCCAGAAAAAACAGAATTTAGACCTTCTGAAAGACCGAAAGCAAAGAGACCTGAAGACAACTTACGTCCGGAAGGTGACTTTGAAAGACCATCACCTACGAAAATTGGCCCTGGAGAACGCAGATCGCCCATTAAACATAGTGACAATCTTAGACCTGAAGGAGACTTTGATCGTCCAGATAAACCCAGTTATAGACCTGGTGAAAGACCGCAGCAAATCATACCAGAGGATAATTTGCGTCCAGAAGGTGACTTCGAAAGACCAGAGAAACCTGGATTCAGACCAGCAGAGAGACCCAAACCGAAACGTCCTGAAGACAACTTACGTCCAGAAGGTGATTTCGAAAGACCATCACCTACAAAAATTGGCCCTGGAGAACGCAGATCACCCATTAAACATAGTGACAATCTCAAACCTGAAGGTGATTTTGATCGTCCAGATAAACCTGGTTATAGGCCAGCTGAGAGACCGAAGCAAATAAGACCAGAAGATAATTTGCGTCCAGAAGGCGACTTTGAAAGACCTGAGAAACCTGGATTCAGACCAGCTGAAAGGCCTAAACAGAAACGCCCCGAAGATAACTTGCGTCCAGAAGGTGACTTCGAAAGACCATCACCTACGAAAATTGGCCCTGGAGAACGCAGATCACCCATTAAACATAGTGACAATCTCAAACCTGAAGGAGAGTTCGATCGTCCAGATAAACCTGGTTATAGACCAGGTGAAAGACCAAAGCAGATAAGACCAGAGGATAATTTACATCCAGAAGGTGACTTTGAAAGACCTACTCCAACGAAAGTTCGTCCTGGTGAACGGAGGTCACCAATCAAACATGATGATAATCTTAAACCTGAAGGCGATTTTGATCGTCCAGATATACCTGGATATAGACCTGGTGAAAGACCGCAGCAAATCAGACCACAGGACAATTTGCGTCCGGAAGGTGACTTCGATAGACCAGAGAAACCTGGATTCAGACCAGCTGAAAGACCTAAACAGAAACGCCCTGAAGACAACTTACGCCCAGAAGGCGATTTTGAAAGACCATCACCAACTAAAATTGGCCCTGGAGAACGCAGATCTCCAATTAAACATAGTGACAATCTCAAACCTGAAGGTGACTTCGATCGTCCAGATAAACCTGGTTATAGACCAGGTGAGAGACCGCAGCAAATCAGACCTGAGGATAATTTGCGCCCAGAAGGAAATTTCGAAAGACCTGAGAAACCAGGATACAGACCGGCAGAAAGACCTAAACAGAAACGTCCTGAAGACAATTTACGTCCAGAAGGTGACTTTGAAAGACCATCACCAACTAAAATCAGTCCTGGAGAACGCCGATCTCCTATTAAACACAGCGACAATCTCAGACCTGAAGGTGACTTTGACCGCCCAGATAAACCTGGTTACAGACCAGGTGATAGGCCAAAGCAAATTAGACCAGAGGATAATTTACGTCCAGAAGGTGATTTCGAAAGACCATCTCCAACTAAAATTGGTCCGGGTGAACGAAGAAGTCCTATTAAACATGAAGATAATCTCAAACCCGAAGGTGATTTTGAACGTCCAGATAAGCCAGGTTATAGACCTGCTGAAAGGCCCAAGCAAATTAGACCCGAAGATAATTTACATCCAGAAGGTGAATTTGAAAGACCATCTCAAACAAAGGTTAGTCCAGGGGAACGAAGAAGGCCAATCAAACATGAAGATAATTTGAAACCGGAAGGTGATTTTATTATCAGAAGAAAAGATGATTATAAAGTTGTTAAAGGTGAAAGAATGGATATTATTAAACGTGAGGATAATTTGAAAATTGAAGGAGAATTTACGGATGTTCGTACTAGAGATGACTACAGAGTGGTAAGAGGCGAAAGAGCAGATATTATCATACGAGAAGATAATTTGAAAACCATTGGAGAATTTACGGATGTTCGTACAAGGGACGACTTTAAGGTTGTTAAGGGTGAAAGAGCAGACATTATAATCAGGGAGGATAATCTGAAAATGGAAGGTGAATTCACTGATCTTAAGAAAAGAGATGAATATCGTGTTGTTAAAGGAGAACGGGCCCAAGTTATTATTAGGAAAGATAATTTACGAATGGAAGGAGAATTCAACGAATTTAGAAAGCGTGATGATTATACTACTAAAATTACCATTGATGAAAGGAGAACACCAATTAAACAAGTTGATAACTTATTCCCTGAAGGTGAATTCGAGAGGCCAGAAAAAACGCCATATAGACCAGGCGAACGTCCAAGTGCCAATAAACCAAGAGATAATCTGTTTCCAGAAGGAGAATTTGAAAAAACTCCGATACATAAATATGGACCTGGTGAACGTGCGGATATTGTAAAACATCCTGACAATTTGAAACCCGAAGGTGATTTTATGGGTACGCCGAAAAATAAATCATCTTATATTCCTGGAGAGAGAAGAACACCAATTCGTCATGGAGATAACTTGTTCCCTGAAGGTGAATTCGAGAGGCCAGATAAATCTCCGTATCGTGCAGGTGAACGCCCGACACCTAAAAAACCTAAAGATAATTTACACCCTGAAGGAGATTTTGAAAAATCACCTAAACCTAAATATGGACCTGGTGATCGTGCTGAAATTGTCAAGCATCCCGATAATTTGAAACCGGAAGGAGACTTTATGGGTTCGCCAAAAAATAAAGATGATTTCAAACCTTCTCGCGGAGAAAGAGCGCCTATAAGGAAACCACAAGATAATTTGAAGATTACCGGAGAGTTTACCGATAGAACGATGGCAAAGTCTGATTACACAATTGTGAAAGGGGAAAGAGCTACGTTTAAGAAACATGAAGACAGCCTTAAGGTTGGAAATGGAACAATGGAATGTATTACAACAACAAAACAAACGTTTGAGAAGAGTCCGGAAAAGAGTCCTCAATCAAGTCCCCAGACAGCTATGATGAATAAGCGCAGACACATGCAATCAAGTATCGCTCTTGGTGATGACACAACAGTTATGAAAACGACAAACCAAACGAATTACAACACTTATACCAGAAGAAAGGATGTTGTCGATAATACTATTATCAACAAAAATATTGTCACAAATAATACAGTTGTTAAGAATGTCAGCAATACTGCTGTAGATAATATGGACACCCAAAAGACTACAAATGTCATTAATGACACAAAAACCTTGCCCGATGGAATCATTGTTAAAACAACTAGGACAATTACAACAACGAGAGGAGGTAAAAAGGTTACTGAAGGTGGGGCCATCAATAAATCCTCATCTCAAACCAATATCGTTAACAGACACGAAGAAAACGTCACTAACAGAAATGTTAATGTTATCAATAAGAACGTTCACAACAGTCAAGAAAATATTATCAACAGAACCAACGTCAACCATGTGACAAATAGAAATGTTGTTAATAGAACAGAAAATGTGGTTAACAGAACAGAAAATGTTGTTAATAGAACAGAAAACGTAGACAACAGAAATGTTCACCATCAAACGAATGTGACTAATAACATCGTGCATTCGAGCAGTCAAACAAATATCAACAAGACGGAAGGCCATCATCGCAAGAGCGTTATATCCTCTTCGGCTGATGTGAATAATCAAATTCTTTACAGAAAAGGTCATCAATCATCATCTGAAGCTTTACATGCGACCAGTTCAACTGCTTTAGATATGAGAAAATCAATTTCCAATTTACATGATCAGGGACACGTCTCGACGCATACTGACAGGAAGAGCTTGAGCTCTATGCACAGGGATAAGGGTCACCAACATTGGGCCTCTCATTCTTATCAGACAATCGATAGACCGCAAAAGATTGTTCGTAAAGATAATCTCACTGTCGGCGGAAACTTTTATGGTCAATCGGAAGCAAAATCCTATGGCAACTTCAGTAAACAACAGAACGTCCAAAAGGTTGAAAGAGTATCCAGGAGATCTAATACTTCGCATATCACCCTGGGCGACAGCAATGTATCTGTCGTGACATCCTACAAGAAGGAGTATGCGCCAAGGAACATCGGCCCATGCCCTGCAACATTAATCGATTCACCTAAAGGGCCGTTCAAGCATACCAGGGATTCGAAAACTCACAAATTCTATATGCCTGTTGTTAGTAATTAAGGTGCCTTCATCATTAGCTTAGGCTATTATTGTGATATTATTATCGATTGTCTTATTATTTCGATTATTTACTACAAATTCAAATTCATTTTGTGTAATTATTAGCAAACGCTTACGGTTACAGTGGTGCACGCAGCATCCAAGAGGCATATATTATTTATTCCCCCCATTATCTAAAGCTTTATTTTTTATTTTAATGTTTATCAAAAAAAATACAATACTTTATTAATTTCAACTTATTATTTTTCTCTTAATTTATTTTATATTCTCTAACCTAACTATATAATTAATAGAAGGACGTCAGTGCCCATTCGAGAACGAACGAAAGGGTGGACTGGGTTCAGGTTAACAAAAACACAATAAAATAAAGGGATAAATTATGGTATGGTACCTTTCAAATAAGCCACAGACTTATATGCAAAGGTGCCGCAATGTGCATGGTTAATATTAAACAAAATATTAAAAGAATTTTCATTTATTTAATAATAAAAAAATAATAATAAATTGTTTATTTTTCTTTAATTTCCTACACAATCCTTATAAATATAATTTACAATGTTGTTTCAATATTTAAAAGATTTCTGTAGTTGACTATTGTCAATAATATTGGCGAGAATTACCTATTATAATAATTTATATAACTCTAATTATTGCAAGTTCGATACGTTATACATTAATTTTGATACTCGTATTAGGATATGATATTTTCTGAAATCAAAAATAAATAACTAAAACCATTATTGTTCAATTGTTGGTTAATTCTGTACAAGCACATCCCCATCTTTTGCATCAATGCAACTAGAATATTATGAACACAGTGTATGCGTTATAATCACTAGAACATGACAAGAATTTAATTAATTTTTAAACTACATACAGTACGTTCAAATATGGCTACGCAATTATTATTTCATTATAGCATGAAATACAATAGACATGAATTGAATTTTAAAAAGAAGTGGGCGGGTTTTGTTTACAAATCGCTGTCTAATGACTGTCAAGAGAGATTGGTTTAGTTCTTTCGTATTATGAGAACATATGGATTTCTTTTGATCCAGCTGATTCTGTGCTCTTCTTCTTTCGGCCTCGGCGAAATCAAACGCGATGTGAAAATCAGGTAATTGCTTCATACATTTCAGTAAAAACAATTTTTAATTTAAAATCATCTTTATTCATTTATTCTTAGCGATGTATACAATACAGCTGATGCGAACATAGTGAAAGACAACGATAAATCGTATGTTTAAACCTTGATGTAATGTACAAACTATATAGATGTTATTTAATAATTTCAAGGTATCGGCAAGTGTCAACAAGTAAGCGAGAATCCGAAGAAGAGGCTGCCCAACCGTTGAAACTTCCCAAAATTAACACTCAAGGAACTCAATGCTATGATGTGTCTTCAGCAAAACGCTCAGCCGACTCTGAACCAGATTTAGAGGCTAGATATAAGCCTATCATTATCAACGAAAAAAATAAGAAACGTCGAAGTCCTTTTGGTATAGTCTACAACCAAGGGAGACCAATAGGAATTTTGGAAGTAAACATTTCCTTTGTAAATTTTATTCCAAATTATTTATATTTTTTGCTCGCAGCCAATTTCTAAGATGTACGAATTCCAAGAATATCCAGTAGAAAAGGTAAATGAAGCACCTTTGCTGAAGAGAAACGCTGAGGATGTTTCATCAATGGCTGAAGGAAACGGTAAATACGCATCTATACTGACCAGTTTCAAAATCGGAAATAGAATGAAAGTGAAGCAGCTAGGGGATGAAGCCCCTTTTGCGCAATCATCGCAAGAAAAGAAGCAGAAAGCCAAGAGGAGCGCTGAAAAATCTCATCAGAATTTGAACGAAATTGAGAATAATTTGAAGGAAATCATGGGTGATCTGGGTTTGATTAATCAAAACTCGCTGAAGGATGACTCTAAACGCGAAGCTGCTGAAGACGAGGATTTGGATGCAGGATTAAACAAGATCGGACTCACGAAGGAATCGCATTCTGAAAGAAATAAAAAAGAAGATTGTCCAGGTAAAACATCTGATCTGACCACTAGAACTGCTTCAAAGCAGTTGAAAAATTCCGAAATTCCTATAAACGGAGATGCAAATTTCCGCGATGAGAAGCAATCCAAGAAAAACAAAATATCTGATTTTCGTGCAGATGGTGAGGCTTTCATCAGAAAGAAAAGGCAACAAGCCAATGACCTAATGAAGGGTTTGGAAACGTCAGGAGATTTAACAGTGAGCGGTAACAAATCTCCTTTGGCTTCGTCTAGCACGGCAGCAGAGGCCGAAGGAAAGCAGAAGGTAACGGAAAAGGACGAAAAACGAGACAAGCAAATAGCAACGGAAAATCAGGAATATGAAAAACGTTTGCAGCGAAACATTGAACATAAAATATCTGAAATTAAGGAGCAAGTAAAACGAGAAATTAAAGCGCTCAAGGAAAAGCACCCTGAACACAAAGTGAAGGCTGATGAAAAAAAAAGTGAGAAGAAAAAACGTGAAGAGAAGAAGGGTGTTCGAAAGAAGAGAAACTTGTTGGACAAAGAAATCAAAATTTTGAATCCGGTGAATACGGATGAACACCAGGAACCTCATATTAGAAAACGCAGGGATGCTGCAGCAATTGATGATAAAGAAGAGCAAGAGGAACAATTGAATGAAGGTCCAGACAAGCGGGTCACTTGGAAAGAGCTAGACACTGCTGATTTACAAAAGCGCAGTGAACCTGGAAAAAAAATGATACACAATAATCCAAAAAGTTACGAATATGAATATCGAACTAAGAAGGAAGTAGACAAGGGTTCTGCGGCGATTTCAGCGGCCGCAGTTGCAACGGAAGAATTAAAAGAGAAAAAAGTTCAAGAAGATGAAAGCGGCGAAGCTGAAGCGGCTGAAGATATGGGAGAAGTGGCAGCCAAATTGAATGAAGAGAGTTCTAAAGCCGAGGGTTTTCAGGACGTTCAAAATCAGGATGTTGCAAAGCTAGCGGAACCTCAAGCCAACCATGCACTTGCAGCCAGGGGATCCACAGCCAAAAATGCACATGCAATAGCTAACAGACCATTTAAGTCGGATGAATTTGACGCAGCAAAACTGGAACATCTGGTGTCTGAGAGCACTTCGCTCACACAATCCGTTAAGAATGAAAGGGGTACGAGATCTGGTAATAGTCCAAAAATCGAAGTGGAGCTGCACTCTGGCAAAAACGATATGATTAAAGCAAATCCCGAAAAGAAGCAAGCAGAATTGCAAGAAAATAAAGGGGATGCAGAAATTGCAAAGCGCTCTGAAAAACGATCAAATTTTGACCAGAAAATTATTAAAGAAAAATCCGATGCAAAAGTGGACACACAAACCAAAGAAGCACTCTCCAAGCGCTCAGCAAAATTAGAACCGGAAATATCTCTAGAAGATATGCAACAATTAGACAGCGAAAATACTGAGAAAAGAAGGAAGAGAACTAATTCGAGAGTCAAGAGAAATGATTACGTCGAACCCAACAACATGCAGTTTAGAACGTATCGAAGCGACGAAGACGAAGCAGATGACGAGAGCGATGAATTTGACGATGATAATTTCGACGATAGAACGGCAAATTTAATCCGCAAAAGAGATGCTACCAATGACGGCTCTAATTATGATGAATTTGATGAGGACTACGAGGTGAATCGAAGAAATCCGGTGCAGTTATCCAAAAGAAATGCGCATTTGCAGAAGTACGTAGATGAGCTAAACTCGGATGCTTATAGCAATCAGAACTATCTATATAATGGAAATTTGAGGAAAAAAAGGGAAAATTTCGATGATTTGGCTGCAATTCATAGCGGTGGACCTATGATGCGACACATGGCTGCGGCCAGAGAACGAAATATGCAGCCACTCGATTCCACTTATAGAAGAAAACGACTTGAAAAATTGAACTCAATGCAGAACCGCGATCAAACCATCACCGGTTTATCGGAATCTGACATCTTTGGTGGTCTTCCTCAAAGTTACGAAGGGGAGTTGTCCAGATTTAAACGTGTTAAACGTGAAAATAATATAATTAACAATAATTAGATTTTCTATATAATACCTATATTTTACACTTTTGTACACTTTTATTTATATATAAATATATATTTTGTATCAAACATGCGTTTATATGTTAATATAACAACAATTGAATATTATTGTATTTTTTTAATTAAAATTAAGCAAAACTTAAAAGATCACTATACTCTAAAGCATGAACTCTAAAGTCCTACCTGCGTTAGATTTTATATCACTGTACAGAGCATGCATGCATTTGACGCTCTTTATCCTCCTACATATAATGATTTTCTATACATTTATGAAATGTCCAGCTGACCCTATGTGGGGAAATAGGTTGTCAAATATAAATATTGTTCAAGGCGGCATAAACTAGAATCAATCCTATGTTTATGAATGTATTGGTTAGAATAAATAATTAAGTGTTAGTATCAAAAATTATTTAGTTATTAAGTAAAAAGATGTTTTATTATGGTCAATAGCTCTTTGTAATTGTTGATCTTTTTTATTATTACTATTATGATTATATGTATATGATTTAATATTTATTTGTTTATGTGCTGTGACTTTTATAATAAATATTATTAATATTGCTTAGTTCATATAATTATTTCAACTAAACTAAATAAATAATGGAAAGTGTTTTTAAATACTCTTTCAGTAATTAACAAATTTCCACTACCAGGCAAATAAAATATAAACAACGTATCTTGGAAAATGACTAGTTTTGGTATCAGGACGTGGTGAAAGAAAAACAAAATTATTATATATTCTTAAGTGTATTGTTTTATGTACATAAAAAAGGCGAAGTCATTATTTACAATCGATAACCAACGGGTAATAGATACACTTCAATCGATATGATTTTATATATATATTTTTTATATAAATAAATCACAGTCTAAAAATGATAACACGGTAACTAATTTAAAAGCTTACAGATAAATAGAAGTTTCAATAAATAATTCAAAAAATTAATGGAAATGGTCCCAATAAATATAATATAATAAATAAATAATACAAATACACTGTAGATCTATCTAGATCTGATGTAATTTACCTTAAAGCTAGAAGTAGTAAGAAAATTATATAAGTACAATGCAATCAATATATGCGAGAATTTTTAATATACAAAAAAGAAACAATAGGCTTCATTCAGCTTTTTATAACTTACTAGTGAAACCTAATAATTCTTTCTTCTCGTACAGCAAATCTGCAATTTTCTGAGTTATCGACCGTTTCTCAAGCAGAGCTTTCGCCACCCGCTGGAATTTATCTTCATTTCTTCTTAGGTACATAAGAGCATCCCTCTCTAATTGTTCAATCTTCTTCGGCTCAATCTCCGACATGCTTAACATCTCAGTCAAATACGGATTAAAACGAAAATATACATCTTCTGGAAGCAAATCGCTAAGCATGGTGTGAACTCCTAGAAGACATTGATATTCAGTTTAATTGCTTCATAATAAATACTAATATATTTACCTTCTGTGTCTGTAGCACTGTCCAATATTTTCAGGAACTTGTTTTTCCATGAAGAAACGTTTGCAGGTTGTTCTCTAAAGGATTCGCTTTGAGTTGGCACAGACCTTCCTGTACCGAAGGACACAACACATTGAATGGGCGTGTTAGGCCATAGCAACTTCGCTTCATGGATAGCAACTGCCGTTGGGTTGTTCACCAAAATACCACCGTCTTGATGTAAGAGGTTTCCCAATTTGCATTCCCCGAAGTACGTTGGGGCTGCAGCTGAAGCTCTTGCCGCCTGCCATAATTTATGATCATTTCCGCCCTGGTATTGAGATTGGACTCTGTATGGTAATGAGTAGTTCCTGAAGACGTAAGCTGAGACACGTTCGTGATTTACAACGGCTGATACTGTGGATAACTGAGATACAAAAATTAATGATATGTACAATTTATTATTTACTAAAATACTTACTTTCGGACAATTAGGAGTGCGCGTTGTGGAAATTAAAGAAATATCGCCCATCTGCTCTATCAGCAATTTCTCCCATAGTTCAGTATCATAATACGAATGGCTCCAAACTAAACTGCTGGTGCCTTTAATTGTAGATTGTGTAAATATCTTCGTACTGATATCCAAATAATCCTTATGCAATTGATCGCACGTTCTTTGCATTGCACCTAAAATACCAAATTCGTTAATAGTTATAAATACAAATCTATATTTAAATACTCTTACCTAACGAACATGCAAGTATAGCCCCAGTACTGACGCCACATACGTAATCGAACATTTCGTAAACCCTTTTACCAGTCAATTCCTCTAACTTCTTTAACATCTGTATTACTAGTATACCACGGATACCACCGCCATCAATAGACAGGATTCTAATACCTCTACCAGGTAGAGGGTCACAATGTCCAAGCAACGCAAATACTTCATTGATTGCGCCAATCACAATTGGATTTTGCGTCTGACCCCTAATTCTTAGCAACAATCTTATAGCACCTTCCTACAAAATAACATCGTCAATATAATTGTATGCAAAATGTAAATAAATAAATAAATTACTTTGACAGCTGCGTTTTTAGCTTCAGGATATTGGTGAATGTGAAAAGAAAGTTCTTCGATACGCTTCAGGCGTGATTCCTCAGTTTCCGCGTTTACAATGGAGTCTATAACATGCCTCGTCCGCGACATGATACTGTTCTGGAAATGCGAAGTCATATTTTACATGAATTTAATCAACATAATGACATATCAACTGTATGCAACCAAATGACTAGCTGTTCAGATAACCCACCTTTGTTATTGATGGAACTTCATTCTTCCACCTAGGAACAACTTCTTTTGGCACCTGTGGCTCTTCATTACTATTGGACATCTTCATTTTGATTCCATTGATAACATTTCCTACCATTTCTGAGGCACTGTTCTTATTGTCAATGGTTGGCACAAGTGTTGTTGACTCAAATCGAATGATATTTCTGCCATACACATTTGGCTGTACCTTCTGCAGTATCTGAGCAAACTCTTTACTGATGATGTTCTGGAAAGTCTTATCTGGGGATATTTTCGCCAGGTACTCTTTAATATTGGTCAAAAGTTTCCATTGCATCACTGACATTGTTCTAGAAGTCATCTTTGGTTGTGGCTCCACAGCATTAGAACTGCCAGTAAAAGTTCTATAAAAGAAATTAAATTATGTAATTAAAGTGTTATAATAGCAACATGCAGTGGACAAAGTACTTTGTTAAAAATAGAATATTACATCATATATATGCAAAATATGATTTCTTACATTTCCTTAAGTCAATCTACTAGTTTTCAAATTGCAATTATTAATTATCCACAACTACTCTAATTGTTACTTGATAAAATAGTGAATATGAAGAGATGAATACTCACCACATTTCCTTAATTTAAGATGATTTTATGTGTATTAATTTGTATACAAACATTGAACAGCTGATATAAATATTGACGTAACTCGATCATACGATGTTAAGTGATGGAGTCATGGAGCCACAACTAATACCAACTGCCGTTTTATTGTTACAGGTAGATACAGTGATTATTAATAATTTATTGGATAGGATAACCTTTTTAATTACTGCATTATCATGAACGTCCTTTCGTTTACAAACAAATTAATATATAGACGTCAATCTTATCTGTGAATTGTTATACTTTTTTTTTATATTTATTTACAATATAAATGAACATTAAATCAATTTGTTGGCGGTAAACTTTGTCATCTATAAGACAAAGTAAACAAAGAAATTCAACTGTATTATTTTGCTTAACACTAATATCGTAAATTTATTATATATAGCAGTAATTATGAAGAAGTCTAATGGATTGTTAGTTGTATATGACTTTGAATAAATTAATTCAATAAATAAATAATAGTAAACTCAATGAAAAATAACAATGTAAGTTACCTTGCAGGAGTAGTGGTGATTACACACCTCCTGTAGTGTCGAATGCCTTTACTGAACGACATACTTCCTCACTTCGCTCACTTGCAAATTTAAAATGTGAGATCCGCGTTGGAATATCTCCAATATATTATTATTATTTATGACGTTAACGTCTGTTCTCACTGGTTATCTACAGCACAATTTGAATCAGCGAACTTTTCCTGTTGCTAAGTACATTCATTTACAAAGGAACTTGTCGGATGTTCATAAAAATGCCCGAGCGGGCTTCGTATATATTCCGCACGTTTGCAAACACTTGTTAAGCAGTCCGATGAAAAAGGAAAATAACAGTTGCAATAATCACTGGTATATACGTTGCGTATGGATCTAATCTTGTTGGGTTACTGTGAGCGAATTGCGCTCGGAGAGGCGCTTATATTTAAAGGATTATCGACTGTAAACAAAGTCGTACGAGTGTTGTACGTACGTACGGAAATACTAGGATACACGACGATAAACATATTTATTGTTTTGACTTTTTTTATCTAACATATCCCTTCCAATTAACGCCTTCGTAGTCATATATATATTTTTGCGCCTTGCGACACGTGGAACTATCTCCTATTCCTACTGGCCAAAATTCTAAAATAGATTTGTCGTACGATGCTTGTAGCCACACCTCCCTAGACTCGATCACACCATTCATGCGAATCCTATAGGCTCGTTTGTTTGTCACGATTCTATCGATTCGAAAATTACTAAATAATGAATAGACTAGAATCGGGTCATCATTTCATATATGATTCATAATATTTTTTAACATGTTTCTATAATTGATTACATATATGATGTTTCATTATAATGTTATTAAATCACCATTTTAAAAACAAACATATTTGTTAATGTGCTCACAAACTCGTTTAAGAATTGTAATAAAAAACAAATCGATTGATTGATAGTCTAATTCGATTATGACATAATTTTTGATGTCTATAAATATCCAAATTTATACAAAATAAGTAATAGCTCCCATAGTGCGGGTAAACGGTTCCGCTAATATTCAATCTGGAATGATAGAATTCGCAATATAAGAGGTATTATTAAAATTTACTAAAATTCGCAAGCATTTATTCATATATAAACTGTGAAAATCGAAAATCTATTATTTATTAACTTTATTCTAATGTTTTATTAATGTATTTATCAATTATTAAACTGTAATCATTTAGTTTGGTTAAATCGAATAATTATAAAATAATTAATATCATGTACAGTGGAACCTCGCATAACGAGCATAATCCATTTCAAAATTTCCGGATTTTTACTCTTATAGTGAAATACTCATAATGCGATTTTATTAGCAAATACATTCCAGAAATTTATTATTCTTTTAACAATATTTTTCATAAATGTCTTCCTTGATATCTTTCTTATCTCAAGCTAAAACTATATTTGATATCAAACTAGACAATAGTTACATTCATTAAAAACACAAAAATCTCAAGTAAAATTGGATATTGAAATATTTTACCAAACCATTAAAAAAGCAATTATATTACATAACAGTGAAATAAACTGTAATTTCATAGAATATATAGAATATATAATTTATTTAACCGAATTTAATTATAATTAATAATAATGTATAAAAACATATTAATTTATATTTATTATAATTAATATTTAGACATATTTGTATATTATGATGTAATCATTATAAAATTAAATTTGATTGGTATGTTATATCAATCAAATTTTGAAAACATATTTGATTGTATTTCTATTATTGACACAGTAGAACCTCGCTTTCAATCCGTTCCTAAATTTCCTGATTTTTACTCGAGTATTTCACTAGTATAGTGAAACATATTCAAAAATACACATAATATGTGTACAAAAGTTTTAAAAATGATGTAGCAGGCGCGCAATTCGGGACTTCTCTTCTCATCGTCACTCGTTATGCGAAACGTCGCTCGTTAAGAGAGTCATTTTTCTTACAATTCATTTTGCTCGTTAAGCGAGGTTCCACTGTATTTATGTCGCAGCGATTTTTAAAAACCAGTTTCTATTTCAAGAAATTTCTCAAATTATTGATACATTGCCTAGACACGTTTTATTGTGCTTCTCAATATAAATAAAAACAACTGAAGAAACAGCCAAAATATAATGTATTTAGACAACGACGCATATTTACTTCACGAATGCTGAGCGTTAGATAATCAGGTAATTTTGTACGTAATATATTTACATTTTGGTGGATATCCGTTCTCAAAAATTTCGAAAAATATGTGTGTTTCCTTTAATAAAAAATATATAAAATGAAAATTAAGGTTGAATTAAATGAAGTACTTTTAGGTTTTTATTCAGAATGCAAATTGTTGGTGTTAAAACTGGAAATAAAAATATTCGTGTTATTAGCCTGACACGTTCTACACTTTCGAAAACAACATTCAGTAAACAAAACGGCCAAAACCTGAGGTACGACTAATTTTAATATACGTTATAAATATTTACATTGCGATTATTCACCGTTACGTACGAATTCAACGAACGCAGTTGTGATAATCTGTGAATGGGAAAGTCCTTGAAATGTTGTTATTTAGGAAAATGCGTACATCTATTACCACCTACATTTATCAGCGACTTGTGTTTTGAATCGTTGCATATCAATGTGTGTAATAGTTCATCAAAACATTTGGCTTCAACGTCAGATTTATATGTAAAATAAAAATAATGCCCTTTGCAGCAGATCATTTTGGTTTTGATTTTTTTTATTTTTATTTTGTTGAGTAGTATAGAGATTTGTTACAATAAATGTTATTATTATTTAATAAAAATAATTGTTTGATTATCTCAGTTTCATAATATTTTTCTTGCAATGTTTTTTGTTTGTTTTCTATGAAAGTTCGTTTACATCAGAAATGTATATAGAAATGCTTGGACGCGTCATTGCTTATTCCTAAATAGAAATCTTCGAACAACATCGGGTGACGCTGACCGATCATCAGTAACAGTTTAAAAATATTTTCTGGGTTGAAAATGATTTGTGTTTTTTTTTCTTATAATTGATATATGGGACCAATTATTAATGGCAAATCTACCAAAGACGTATCCAATTTATAGTTCTCATTAATGTTTGATAACATTGAATCCAAGATTTTCTACAAAACAGTTTAATTTGCTTGATTCAGGTTATTTTTTCAGTAATTTAAAATTAGAGCATAATTTGTGAACATTGTACCTTTGTACCATTTCGATAATTAAAATTTATCAATCGTGTATAAACCTATATTATAATAATATAAATATATATTATACTATTTGTTTTAATATTAGATATATGGCAGAAAGACCTATGGTCAATAGCTCTAATATACTTTTCATAAATTTAATCAAGCATATTTGGAAATACCGACTACAGTGGAATCTCGCTTAACGAGCAAAATGAATTGTAAGAAAAATGACATGCTTAACGAGCGACGTTTCGCATAACGAGTGACGATGAGAAGAGAAGTCCCGGATGGCGCGCCTGCTACATCATTTTTAAAACTTGTTTACACATATTATGTGTATTTTTGTATATGTTTCAATATACGAGTAAAAATCCAGAAATTTTGGAATGGATGAAACTCGTTGTTCCACTGTATTTAGTATCCCCAATTTTCCCCATGCGCAGACGAAGTAAAGTGTGGAGGGGGAAATGAGAAGAATCTTCCCCCTTTTAAGTTATTTATTGATAAAACATGGTAACCAAGGAACAACAACAAATATTACGATTTTTCTAGAAAACTTTCAACTTTGCTTTGAAAACGTACAGTGACAGATCGTCGCAAAGTTAATCGTCAGCTATGGACCCCATACGGCTTCAAAAACAGCTTAAAGATAACAATTTAGACTTGCACGATTTCTGCAAGGATTTGAAAAACTGGGGAGACGAAATGAAACAGAAAGACGAACACTTGAAGCTTGAGAAAGAGAACGCCAAGGTTTGTGTATTAATAACCTCAAAAATGTAAATAAATTGTTTACAAATTTAACCTATCTTCTAGAACACCGAGATGAACATGAAAAGCAAAAAACAAATTGCCAAAGAGACGTACCATGACTCCGATTCTGAAGAACTCAGCGATGAATTTGACGAAAACGCATTGGAATTAGCAACTGCAGCCAAAGACAAGGTACTGGTTTAATTTGTTATGAAAATACAACAATAATGTGTTCCATTAATGTAGGGTAATAAGTTCTTTAAATCCGGAAGATTTAAGGAAGCAATTGAAGCATATTCACAGGCTATAGAAATCCATCGATATGATCCCACTTTCTACTGCAATCGAGCACTTTGCTACAACAAACTTAATGAGTGAGTCCAATTTATTTCCTATAAATTACATTTTAAATTTGATGTTTTCAGGTTTAATAAAGCTGAATTGGATTGCACAACTGCTCTCCAGCTTGATAAACATTATGTTAAAGCCTATCATCGTAGAGCTATTTCAAGAGAAGGTTTAGGATATTATAAGGATGCCCATGAGGATTTAACATATGCTCTTCTTTTGGAGCCAAAGAATAAGGAATCAATTGAGTTGTTAGAGAAGATTAATAGGAAATTACCAAATGTTAATGTAAGTTTTAATATAATCTGGTTTCATAATATTTGATATTTGTTTATATTAAAGGAATATGAAAGACCTCCATCCAAGTTTAGACAGTCTAAGAAGAAATCAAATTTTATAAATAAAGGTGCTGGTGATGGACAAGCTGTGAAAGATAAAGTAGTTGAGACTTTGAACAAACCACCTGTAGTAAAGGAAACAAAGGATATTCTAATCAATGAAGTAAAAACCAACAATAATGTTCAAATTATTGAGAAATCAGATACTGAAATCAATGAAGTAAAAACCAATAAGAAGGTTCAAATTATTGAGAAATCAAATACTGAAATCAATGAAGTAAAAACCAATAAGAAGGTTCAAATTATTGAGAAATCAGATACTGTAATCAATGAAGTAACATCCAATAAGAAGGTTCAAATTATTCAGGAGAAGGAAAATAAGATTGTCAATATAGATACAAGTATCAAGTGGCCCATGGGTGATGATGTTATCCTGGTTAAGCCAATACCAAAATCAAAACATAAATCTATGGTTCCATTAAAGAAGCAAATTATCACGACTTCAAACAATATAGATATTATAAAACAAAATCCTGTGAAGATTGAGGATGTTCCAAAAGTGGAATCAAATGAAATTAAACCAGTGATCAAACATGAAGAGCCTATTAAATTGATTAGTTATGAGGATAGTATTTTGGAAAAGAACAAACAGTTTTTGAATTGGGATTTCAGTGCACTCATGTTAGATTTCAATATGCTGGAGCATCCAATCCCAAAGACTTCGGTGCAATTCTATCATACTTGGAAAACATTGGATGACCATATGCGTCTTCTCTACTTGCTTCAAATAAATCCAATAGGCTACATTACATTATTCAAAGATAATTTGGATAATAAGGTGTTTAGCGAGATTATTAAAATAATCAGGAAACAAAAGAATGGTGGATTTGAATGCTTGTTTGGTTTTACCAGAGTCAATAGATTCACTACTATGGTCATGTTTCTGAATCAAACTGATTTGAAATGTAAGTATATCATTCATTGATAAATTTGATGTACTACAATTTCCAATTGTTTCAGATTTGGGTGAACACTATGAATTAATGAAGACTTCCAATAAATACACAACAGATGAATTGAATTATCTGTATCTAAATAAATATTTTTTAAAATAAAGAAGATGAATGTAATTTAAAACTACTGATCTTGGCTTATTTGTATTAAATATAGTATTGTTATAAGCGAATAAGAAAGTTAAAATATGAAAAAGTAAAAATTTTATTTGGAACATTTTACAAGTTAATCAGTACACTTTTATTGAATAATATAAAAATAACGACCGAAAGCCTGCAGTCAATAGACCTTCATATAAGTATAAAAATAACATTAATCACGGTTGTTACAAATGCGGATGGAGGTTTTTCCCATAACTACTATAACACCATCATCTTGTAAATCCTTGAGGGCATCTTCATATTGTTCTCTGGTAATAAGCTAAACAAACAAAATTAAATCTTTGTGCATATAAAAATGTATGTATGAAACTTACTGTAGCCGAATTCTCTTTTAGTTCCGTCAAGAGCTTTTGATAATTGAGAGTTGGTACTTTTCCTTTGGTTTCAATCAGTTTCTTGACGATCTGCACTAATTCCGCACGACGTTTCCTCGCGGCACTACTCAAACCAGTGGTCAAGATTCCTACATCGATCTTACCAGAAAGTGGATCCGTGGCAGACTGTTTCAGAGCTTCCCTGTGCAACCTGTAAGCTTCTTCCACATCGTGAATTTCTACCACTTCAGAGAAACGCACTTTCGCGTGGGCTTCTGCAAGACGGATCAAGGATTCCAACTGTCTGGGATAGGCAGAAATCTGTCCTCTGCCCGATCCAATTTTCCTCATATCCACGTAACATTGGATCAATTTTTGTGAACTCTCTTCGCTCAACTTAGGATGTATGTGTTCTTTGGCGTATGCTAGATAATCACGTAGAATCGACATATCCTAATAAAAGAAAATTCAATTAGAACATATTTACTTTTTATATTAAATTGTACGAACCAAAATTTCGTCGTCTTCCTCTTGCCTACTCTTATAGTACAGAGAAACCAAATGCTTAGCAAGACGCCTATCAAATAACTCATTTTGCGGATCCAAGATTAAGAAAATTAAGTCGAATCTGGATAGTAATGTATGTGGCAATTGCACGTTTTCAATTATAGTTTTGTTTTTGTTCCATTGAGACTCGGAGGGGTTTGCGGCGGCAAGAATAGAAGTGCGGGCATTTAATTGGCAAATGATACCAGCTTTAGCAATACTTAACGTTTGTTGTTCCATTACCTAAAAATAAATAATTGTTTAAAATAGACTAATTCATTAATTATATTTAGAATAATCGTTGTATGTAATCTTATTGGTTTGCTAATGGATTGTAAATTTAAGTATCATTAAATAAGTTATAAATACCTCGTGTAAAACACTTCTGGTAGCATCGTTCATCTTATCGAATTCATCGATGCAACAGATTCCGTTATCAGCAAGTACTAAGGCACCAGTTTGTAAAACTAATTGCCTGGTTTCGGAGTCCTTGGTAACATACGCTGTCAAACCCACGGCCGAAGAACCTTTACCAGAAGTATATTGACTTCTAGGTACCAAATTGTAAACGTATTGCAAGAGTTGCGATTTAGACGTTCCTAAAATTATAAATTAATAAAATCACACTTCTTATTGTTATAAAGAAAAAAAAGCATACCTGGATCACCGCACAACAGTATATTGATTTCAGCCCTAAAGTTCGTTCTGCCGGAAGTAACGAAAGTTTTCTTGGTACCTCCAAAAAGTTGCAACAAAATTCCCTTCTTAACATCATCGTTTTCATAAATCGATGGAGCCAATGCTCTGGCCAAACGATCGTAGACATCCGGTTTTTGAGAAAGAATTTGAAGCAGCTCGACACGTTCTGGGGGGAAACGGTGGTCTTTTCTGCACACGATTAAAATAAATTTGAAATTCATTAATCACATACATTATCACAAACCCTGCTTCTTCTTCATAGAGACGTTTCGAGTCGATTTTCCTAAAGTGTAGGACATCTATGTGCGTCTTATATACAGATTTAACATTTCTCATTTTTGGGTTGACTTGTAGTGGTTGAGCGCGATAAATTCCAGTGACGGTTACCCTGTCACCAGGTTGAACGCAGTCCACCAGGTCATTGTGGGCAAACAAAACTACAGTGTGAGGTGTCTGACCAGCAGGCATATCATCTATTATCAAAATAATAGAAAATTAGTATATAAACGAAACGTAAAAATACGATAATTACCTGGAGACTCCTGCAATTTAATCATTTGTTTATCGGTGAATTGGGACCGGTTATGTACCAATGAGAAGCAGTGATTGGTATTACAATTTGTGCACAATGTAGGCTCAGCAATTCGTCCTCGGTCGATTTCGATAGCAGTGCTGAACGAGCACACTATACATTTGAAGAAAGCTTCTCTCATCTCAGGCATAATATTTGAACTTCTAATAACCATTCCACTGATCGTAATCAATTGATCAATGTCTACAAAGTCATTCAATTGATCATGTTCATAATCGTTTATAACTAGTTACTACCTTCTGGATTCAAAGAACGCATGTTCTTCGTTTTCTCGGCGTTGAAAGGCCTGACTTGAATTTGGTGATCCAATACAGCAGCTGGATACCTTTCGTAGAACATCTCGTTGACCGTCATATCAAATGTCGGAATAACTTCTTGCGGATAACAAATCAGTTGTCTGTAGAGCCTTTCATCGAAAGTCTCCAAATGCGAACAATTTACGTTCAAAAATGGTTCTTCGAGTGTGTGAATCTACAATATTAACATAATATTATTGTCTACATTTTATATAATTAAATAAATCATACTTCTTCCATTTTTTGCAAGTATAGAGGCTCGTTAACGTTCATGCCTTCGGTGACTTCATCTTCCTCCGCATTCGGATCTATGTACCTCAAGATGAACTGCTTGAATTTCTCCTTGCATTGTTCCACTGACACATTCGTACCCCAAATGACCAGATGAGGAGCCGCAGATTCCGACTCTTGTGAACATTCTGGGATTGCTTCTAACTGAAATACAGTAAGATGACGTTAATAATGTCAACATAACATTTTATTATACGCTTTAATTATTTTTGGGTAAAAACGGACAAAATAGTACAAATACTGGAGAGATGACGGACGATTTCGATATATTCTTCGAGTTTTGCTATAAATTAATCAATCCGCTTTACGCAAGTTTCAAGTATTACTCGCCGCACATCCTCGGAGCTATAATAGTGCTGAAGCTTCTGCACAACATTTTGGACTTTCTAATATTCGATCGTGGTCTTATCCGGTTAACGGATAATAATATCAAAAGCTTCTTCAGAAGGTCAAAACAAGGTAAATGTTGAGCTGAAATGTGCAACTGTTTGTAATCTGAATTAATGTCTATGACAATCAAATAAAAGCTGGTTGAAACCGCTGCAGATGAGGATTTCATTTACAATGTGGAAGACTGTCCAATTTGCCTCGAATTGTTTTGCGAACCTGTACGATTGCAGTGCGGACACGTTTTTTGCCTGGAGTGTATTACGCTCTGCTGCCAATTGGATCCCGAATTTAAGTGTAAATGTCCACTGTGCAGAATCATGATTAACAAGATTTTTTATATTGAGGTATGTTCAATATATTTAAATCCAATTTGAATCTTACTTGTTCAATGACTAGTACAACATTTTGAATTAACTTAAATTATCCAGTCCTATTTTCTAATAAGATCTTATTAATTTTGTTGCAGGGATATGGGAAAATGCAGTTATCTTATCAGGACAAAAGAAGTTTAAGCAATAGGCTAGATTCAATGATAAATTATCACAACAGTTATTACTACAATATATCTAGAGCATTATCATTGATAATAAGATCTCCCAGTTACATGACAATAGTCATATTGCTATTGTTCATAGAGTTTTATAATATATTTTACATTGCATGAAGCAAAGCACCATGTGTACTATACTTACAGCATCTGAACCAACATTGACCTGTCTGATACGCTTGTCAATCCTGACATCAGGTCTCATGCGAATAGGAGTGCCTTTAATTCCAGATTTTGGTGTTCTCACAGATCCCAATGAACTAGGTGTTCCATAATTTAATGGAGAGCTCAAATCAATCTCACTCATACCTAAACCTATTGGATTTTTTGAATAATTATTGTTTCCATTGGAATTAAATTCTTGAAAACTTTACCAGCAGCAGGACTTGTTGCTATAATACTCTGTGCTGGAGATGTTGGTGCAACATCAGAAGAACTCTCCTGTGATTGCTTCCCTTTACCCCATTTCATAGGTGTCGTAATATCATCAGAGTTCTTAGCTGGTGTACGTCTAGGCGTACTTGGAGGGTTCCTTCTAGGAGTTTGACCGCCGGCATTTCTTGATGAACGTCTGGTTGGAGTCTCCGGTTGATTCCGACGAGGAGTTCTCGGTGCTCTCGGCGATGACATTTTTGCGAACTGTTATTGTGTTGTAATGAAAAAACTTATTTTGTTTATGAAGGTATGCACGGTAGCACAACCTTTCCGTTAACTTGAATAAGAACTTTATGGTTAAAGAATTTCGCGCCAGTTTCTTGTGGTTCTTGAAGCATGAATACCAACACAAATATTTTTTTTTAAGAAGTTCATTTCTTATAAGGATTTTATTACTATTGAGTTTATACAGTCTATTGCAGTCTATGTTAAGAAACATAGGATAGTCATCAATATAAATCTAAAACAGATATTTTAATTTAGACAGTTTTGCTGAATTTTTAAATTCTGCTTAAGTTCTTATTAAGTTGCATGTAGCAGATGGCGCTTGCAACCAACTTAAGTATAGGCAAAAGCTTTTTGACATTATCTGTTAAATCATAGTTAAAAACAATTTGTAAGTTAATTGTATCGTTCGACGTCAACGATAATGGGTTCAGAAATAAATGGACATTAAATTGCAGTCTACGAAAATAATATAATGTACGAGGTCCGATTAGGATGTCCATTGAACATGGTAGTTGAATTATTATTGTTACTTTTCTGCTCTTCTTTTCTTTAAGTAATGTTGTATTGAAAATGTGTTCTATTACTAGAATATCGCAAAAATGTTTCACAACTTTAGGAAATATAATTTAAATCAATAACAATGGTGTGTTGCACTGGGCATGCTCAACATTTGTCACCCTCATCCATACTACACCCCTTATAATAAGGGGTAGTGGATCAATGTGAATGGTTTCTCTGATCAATAGTGCAAATTCAAGCCATAATGTGAATACACAGGGCTGCTTAGTTTAACCCAACATACATTTAAAGCACAAACAAGAGAGCTGTTTAATAAATTTAGTCAATATGTATCTTGTGATAAATATGTTTAGGTGGTTTGTAGTATGTGATCTCCAATAAATGTCTCTCTCTCTCTCTGTGTGTGTGAGAGTGTGTCTATGTGTGCCTGTGTGGGGGGTGTGTTTTCCATGTTAAATAAGTAATAAGTCCTGTTTCCCCTGTGGCAAGAGGTCCGAGGGACTTTTTTCACTTTGAGTTTTGTGGTGTAATCATTCGATTCAAAATGCAAACCCTAAGGAAAAAGACTAGCCCCATGAAATGTAAGTAGCTGATCATATCAATGGTTTCGGAGCATGGTTGAACTCCAATTAAAACACAAAAAAAAGGAATGCTGAGCTTCTCTGACACCCACTGCATTTAACATAAACCTGTATTCAATTCTCTTGGAAATATAGTTTTCTTTTGCAAATTATTTTGTTGTTTTATTTTTTTATTCTATTGGAGCTTTTTTTTATAATTCTTTTCTGAATATAATAACTTTCTTTAGCTTTATTTTTTTAAATTTATTATTACTAATGGCAATTAGATGCAATTACAGATTTTGGAAATCCAATTTGTTTAATAAAATTATCAATTCCCTTTTGACACATTCAAATTGGATTTACTAATCATGCTAATTGGATTCTTACAAGAATGTATCTATAATTATCTTATTTATGTTAATACTTCCATAAACAATTAAAAAGGTTATTGACCGCAATTATTATGCCCGCTATTTATCTAAAATAACAATAACTTAGGAACGTTAATAAAATTGTATTATTTCTAGAATTAAAATGATTTCTAAAGTTTTTTTTTTGGTCACTGACAGAGAAATGTGACAGAAACATTTGTTTACCTTTAAATTATAATAAAATGCCATTGCTTTCTTTGTATTCCTATTTGATAATTGTATTATTACAAAGTCTTATATACATATTTTCTTTCTATAATTAGCGTTGATTATATAATTAATAATACGTCAATTCTCGAATTATTAGCAGTCTATGTTATGGACAAGGACGTAGCAAAGAAAAAATATTGAATTCTAACGCTTTAATTGTTTTTTAATGGATCTATTTACCTCATTTCGATAGAAATCTACTATTAAAAAACATTTTTTACATTTCTAAATTTACATTCCTGTCTTTTCTACGCTATATCGTCGTTTGTGAAAATATTATGCTAATAATAGATACATTTGAATTTATCAACATAAATTGCAAAACGTAACTGTTTTATTAAGGTGTACCCTCGGAATTTCTATTTATTTTCTTCTATTTTCAACTCGAATAATCTGAATGATTACCATGCGAGGTGTAAGTAAATAATATCTATGCATTTCATAACATTGAAAATATTCTATTTTATCTTCTTGGACAATAATACATTATTTTTAGTTTAAAATAATATTTTGTAAATTAATAATAAAATACTTTTTATAAAAGATTAGCAAAGTATATTATGATTTGATGTGATACTATTAACTAATTAGTATTAATTATTAAGATTGTAGTTAGCAATTATTTTGTTTGCTTGATTTTAGGCAATTAAACGGATTCGTAAATGTGCCCAGCTTGAATGTTTAGTTTTTATTTCTTTCTTAATTAGGGTAGTATTGATATTTCTATGATATAATGTAGTATTTCCTTTACGTCGTGTAGATAAGAATGAGACGGTACGTTTCGTGGGCGATGGCGTTTGCTTTAAAGCAAAGCTCATCGGAATCTTGGAAGTTCCGGAAGCTCGCGGGGATAGGATGTGCCAAGACGCATTGAACGATTTGAAGATAGCCATAAGGGCTGCCGGAGAACACAAGCAAAGGATAACTATTAACATAGCTATTGATGGTTTGCGTTTACGGGATGAGAAAACTGGAGTAAGCTTATTCGTGTTTAAATTGAAATACATATTTGTTTTACATTATTATTCGTTGCTTCCATTTAGGATTCCTTGTACCATCATCCGGTTCATAAGATTTCATTCATTGCTCAGGACATGTCTGACTCGAGGGCGTTTGGATATATTTTTGGGTCACCTGATACTGGCCATAGGTTCTTCGGAATTAAGACTGATAAGGCGGCGAGCCAGGTGGTAATAGCGATGAGGGATCTGTTCCAGGTGGTGTTCGCAATAAAGAAGAAAGAAATGGAGATGGCCAAGAAGTTCGCTTCGTCTCCGATTTACTCAGATCGAAGCTTATCCAACTCCAAAGTAAATATTACTCGTTCAATATTTGATGTTCATTAAAGTTTTACATTGTAGAGCAGCTCACCAGAACCAAATAAAAATGCAAATTTGGATACCAAAGGTGGAGCCTGCGGTAGTGAAATACGTCCTACTCCAGCCGTTGCCGATCTGGTAGATTTAGAATTGGAATTGAATAGTTTGCAGCAGGGCTTAACGCAAATGGAAAGAATCACACCTTCCGATCCTTTTGGTCCCAAAGACGATCCCTTCGGAGACAGCTTTACATCTTATCCTGTAACTAATCGATTTTTATGAATTGCCAATCATTTACTTCATGTTTTTTTTTTTTGGAAAAATAGCAAAAGCCAATCTTGCCTCCTCCGCCATCTGGTCGAGAACGTGCCAACAGGTCTTCGGAATCCAGCAGCTTATTTAGTCCGAAAACAGGTGCAGACTCGACTAGTGCTAATGACCTATTTGGATCGAGAAATCTGGGAACCCCGAAAGAATTTACTTTCAATGAATTCAATAGTTCGCATGACGAGCCCAGCAGTGGCGACTGGTTTACTCCATCTGGTGGTAATAGTTTATTTGAAGATGCTCCGCCACCAACGACAGAGCAACAACCGTCTAAAGATCAACACGAAACGGTTAAACAAGAAATCATGTCGCAATTCGACGTTTTCACAGAGTTAGATCCATTAGGTACGAAGACAATGAATCCAGAACTAGGTATAATGTTATTTTTGTTTTTTTTTCTTATACTTTTATAATTCACTTTTCCGTTCCGCACTAATCATCTAACATGGAGAGCCCTGGTAACAAATTAAAAACCTCAGTATAATTTTTCCATTTGTTTCTTTTCAATTCATCGTGCAAGTAAATGTATCATATTTAATGAAAATTTTAATTGTTAAAGGTACTGGAAAGATTAAGCCATACGTCGACAAAAAGCACTTCTTTCAAGAGCTCAAGAATCCTCCGAAGAAGGTGTTGAACGATTTGGTATCCGATAAACCACAGGAAGCGTCCTTGTTTCCAGCGACTTTCGATCAGTCGATTAACAAATCTACAAACAGCGTGAGCAGCGGTGATCCGTTCGGAGAAGATCCCTTTGGACAAACGGATCCTTTTGCCGAAGCCGATTTCAACAAGCAGGATGTCTTCGACGAGTTCTCGGATTTTAAAGTAAACAATGTTCCTACAGAACCGGTGAAAATAAATACCGATTTGTTTACGCCTATGTCGAAGTCGCCCAAGACGCCTTCCTTCTTGGAGAAGCAAATGTCATTGGCTGGAACGTCTCCGAGGAACAATTTGTTTTCTAAACAGAATACATTCGATTCACCATTTGATTACAAGAAGAATTTATCAAAGTTGTATGAGAATCCAAGCTTAGATTTGTCTTCGGAATCTGAATGCGCTCCGGATCCTCCTCCAAGGCCAAGTAATACTCTGCCGCAGATAAAGCCTCCGCCGTTGCCTCCAAAGAAGCAAGTGCTTGGTGATATCGCAGCTAAACCTCCTCCCCGGCCACCGCACACCGAAGAATCTCATTACGATTATATTGAAAAGTACGAAACTAATTATGTTGTGGCTGACCCAAAGAGTCCTCCGATCCCAGCTCCTGCACGTAAATCGAAGTTTGAATCAGAGCCGGACGAGGAAGATTACTTAACACCAATCACGTTTCCTACAGTCGATATTAAAACTAAAGCAGCACCGCTACTTCTTCCTCCTCCATTGAAAGCCAATAAGAAGAAGCCGTTGGAACCACCGCCACCTGCTGAAGTCTCGAATATATCCAACCTCTCTTTAGATGGATTAGATATAACATTGAGTCAACTGACTTTGAGTGGATTGAACGAATTGGCAAACAAACTTCAGATACCTGCAAGCCAATTGAGTAACATGACCCTAGCACAATTAACTACGTACCTATCGAATTTTATTAAAAACTCCACAAAGCCTGAACCCGAAACAACTTCAAAGGATGCTGAAAATTTTGCTTCATTTGCGAACGATGATTTTGCAGACTTCAATCATTTCAACAACACTCCTCCTGTTAATAACGAAACGTACGATCGTTACGCCGCTTTTAGAGAGCTTCTGCAGGAAGAGATAAAACAAACTAAAATCGATACAGAACCTGAGGAGATTGCGGAAACTAAACAACCAGAAGAAAAAGTAATTGAATTGAAGGAGGAGGATATTTCTCAGGATGTTGAAATTGTCGATAGGTATGCAGCTTTACGTGATATTGATACAACTGAATTGAAATCTACGGAAAATAAAGTCAATGAGGTATTTTATTTGATTTATTGTTTTATAATTTTATTTAACGCATTATGTTTTTGTAGGAGCTTGAGGAAGAAGATGATTACGATTATTACGATTATGATGATGATCATTTGGAAACTATCGATGAAGTCATTACAGAGCAAAATAATTTAAATGATGATTTCAATATTGAGATGAAGTCGGAATTGAGTATAACTGATTTGAAAATTATAGACGATGCGAAAATTGACAACGAAAAACCTACACCAACGGAGGTAATCGAGGATTATACAAATAACGTATTTTCAGAAGCGAAAGTGATCACTCCAGAATCACCGAAGGTGCATATCACCGAGCCAATTCCAATCGAAGAAACTCAATGTCAGAATGTCAGGTTGAATTCGGGGTCGCTCTCTGATGTGGTTTCCGGAAGTTCGCCGGAAATCGATCTGACTGGTGGAAGCGAGAATGCCAAGAAAACGGACACAGCCGAGAGCTGGGCTATATTCGATCGACCCGTAATTGCGGCTGAAAGTAAAGATACTAAAGCTGTCCAAAGCGAGGAAGGTGTTTCGCCATGGTCGAGCGATTCGAAGGAGTTTGGTAATGGGTCTCCACCTGAGTGGAGGCAAAGAATCGATTCTGAAAGCGGCGGTGATCAGTGGAATGGGGCGGACAAACGGAAGGAACATGAATCTGGCTGGTGGGATACATCGGCCGAACCGGAAGTGCAGTATTATCAGGCAAATCGAAGATCAACGGATAGTTATGAGGATGAACGTTACGACTGTTACGAACGGCCTAGACGGAGAAGACAAACTACTTGGTCGGGACAGGCGACTGGAGGACATTCCTCAAGTTCACGTGATGTTAGTCCATGGGAGGAAGAGCCTCGAAGAAGAGATGGTAGACAATCGTCTTGGTCTTCTAGGCATTCGAGGCAACATTCGTTTGATAGACATAGCCGAAGACCAACGGATAGCTGGGATGAAGAAGACGATTATGAGTACGATGTAATAATATGTATTTAGAATATTACTATAATTGTTGGAATTTCTAGATACGAGGATGAACATTCTAGTCGTTTCCATTGGCCTGAGAGACATGGCAGTAGAGAAGCAGACAGAGATAGGCATACAATGCCGCCAGCTCGTGAAGTCGATAGAAGTGGAAGAGATTTAGAAGAATGGGACGATAGAAGGATGCAGCACAGAAGACGTAGGGATGCAGACAGGGATAGATGGTGCTGCCCTGACTACGATATGCCAGATCAAGGTAATAGATATATTAAACAATTAATGATCTGTAATAACTTTATTATAAATGATCAGAGAAACCAAGATATGGCAGCGGTCGGTGGTCCAATCCTGAAAGAAGAAAGCACGATGAAAGATATTATAGTAGAGATCAGGAATCTCCTTGGGAGGATGAATACTCAGCAGAAGTCGAAGACCCACCACAACCTCATTATTTAACTGCAAGACGGACAAGAATAAGACCTAGTAGCGCTTCAGAAATGGATCGCAAAACTGGAGAAATTAAGACAAGACCGGGACAGTATTATTATGGTGAGTGAGCTCATTTTTTAAATAGTAACTACTATATATAAATAATTATTTTTATTATGATACTGTAGGTGGTAGTGATGGTGAAAGAGACAGACGTTACAAGACTAGCAGACGTTCAAAGAGTCGTGATTCTCAGTACGTGGAGCGACACAAACTCGAAATGACCTCGAGAACACAGCATCGCTTAAAACAGCATCAGCATCAAAAGTTCGAAAACGATTTCAGCCAGGACATGCCGTCGAAGAAGTTGGATGCTTCCAAAGAAGTGATGAAGAAGCCGCCCAATCCGCAGCGGGGAAAGAAGCTGAAGGAAAGCCCGAAATCTGAAGAAGCAGCAACGTTTCCAAGAAAATCGACGCATAGGTCACAGTCTCTGTTTGAAAACGATTTCGTTCCGGAGCCGGAAGTACAAGCTCCTGCACCGAGATTCAATTTTGAGAATGAATTCGAAACTAGCGAGGCTGAATCCCCAACGCCGAAACCGCTTATCACTAAGACGAAGAAGAAAAACTGGTTTGACGCAGACAGGCGACCGAAAAGCAATCAGAAAGTAGCACGTTATAAGCAGAAATCTCTCTTCGAAGACGACTTCTCGCCGACGGATAAGGCGGATTCCGAGATAGCCGAGATTCCGAGTATTAAGGAGGAACACACTGAGGATGATGTTGTCCCTAAGGAGATGACATCGATGGCGAGAAAGCGCATGCTGAAGATGGGGAAAAGCAGCGATCATATTAAGAAATCCGAGTCGGTGAACATCTTCGCCAGGGAGAACGATCCATTCGATGACGACTTCTTCAGCGTCGGAGGCGGTTCCAACGGCGAAAGTTCCGGTGATATTAAATGGACCGAGCAATTTAACGATTTCGATATACAGAGAGCTAAATAGGATGAATTAATTAATTGATCAAGATTGTGTCAAAACATTACAACAAAAAATATATTACTTGTAGGTGGACATATCCAAGAAGTAAAGAGAAATCACTCGCCTATATTAAATAAATAATTACGTATAAAACTGTAGCGAAGCAGAAATGGAAGTATACATTGTTAATATTTAAAGTATCCATGTTCAATTTAATACACTCTTAATGTTTTGGCATACATCGAAACCGACAAGATTCTTATTTTCGAATGTTATATGTTGACGATCGATTGATTTTATTATTTACATTACATTCTTCTATTATTATTATTTTTATTTTATTTTTCTGTTCATAGTATAAATAAATCGTTTCTTAAAATGTAATTGTACTTTATAAAAGAAACTTGTACTGACTGGTCCACGGAATTTTGTAAAAGTTTTATGTATTTGGAAGAAAGAATGAACAAAAAATATATAGAGGATCATGATGTTTGTAAGTTAATCCCTCTGGCATACTCTTATCTACTTTATTTCATATGCTTTGTCACTCCTCTCAATTATTTACACTTTATTTTATTTTTCTTGTAAAACTTTTTGTATGTATACACTACCTCTTTATTATTTAATTAATATATTCTTTATATTTGTTACATCTTTTTGTATTTATATTATTTTTTGTTATTATACACCACACATACATTTTATCACTACAATTCATAAATATTTAATACCCATTTTATATATAAAAAAATCTTTGGTCTTTCAACATCTTGCAAATTCTTATAACGCAGTTATTGGACCAAGTATAACAACCAGAAAATTCTGAAAATGATTACATATTTTACATTTAATACCAAGTCAAATTATAGTAACAAGATTATGCAAACTTAAGAAATTGATGTGAAATGCATTTGAATGAATACATGAGTAATTTTGCTTTCAATGAACATCCAAAACCCCTATATATATATATTTACAGAATTTAATAATAGTTAAATAAATAATTAGATGATTATATAAATGGCTGTAATCATTACACATTTTTTTTTATATAAATAATGTTAAACAATTTCTAAAAGGCAGAAATATTAAAGTTAGTAAATCAAATAAATTAATAAATAGAGCTATTATCTTAAGGAGTTTTATTTATAAAGAAATCCAAATATATTACATTGTTATTAAATTTATACACAATATTTGTGAATAATCAAAACTATATTGGATACATATAATCAGTGCCGTCCTTTGGATTTTGAGGTCCCGGGCATACATATGAAGTGGGGCTCCAATGTAAGACATTCCGCAAAAAAAAAATGTTTAAATTCTCTTTGTTCCTTTGGATTCTGTAAAAATTTTCCTACTCTAACGTATGCCAGACAGTTGATTTCACTTTACTTAATGAGTTTTATTACTTTTGGTATAATAGCATGTTTAGGATATTCTATTGTATTCATGGTTTTTAACATACATAAATTATATAAAACAATCTGTACTGTACTTTAAATAACAATCTATCTTAACTTAAAGATTATCTAATATTTAAAATACAACAGACAAAATAATAATAATTAAGATTTGGATAAAGAAAAGTAAAAAATACTGATTTAATTAAACCTGGTTTAATATAATATACAAATATAACAACGATTTGCATTTTGTAAGATAGCGAAAAAACAATTTTGTTTTAACCTCATAAATAATTTAATCTATTGTTTAAGAGAAATCTATGGGCGGAAAGACGTCGATCGATAGCCCTTTGGCCAGCATGTTAATATTTTTTTTTTGTTAATTTGTGTTAGAATTTATTTACTTATTTTGAGAGTTATTTTTATTATATAGTTGTTATTATTATTTGTTTATTTATAGAATGTATTTTTTTTGTATTTCCTGTCTGGCCAATAAATGATTATTATTATTATTTGAAATCTATAGATATATTTGATATTTATAAAATTAGTTTTTAATCAAGCAGTTGCATATCTCAAACTGCTAAAGAATGAATATTATAATAGTAGAAGTGTTGACTCCCCTTTTGTTTTTCAGTAATAAGGAAATTTATTTTAGCATTGAAATATATTTACTTCTACAGTTGTTATTAGTTATTTTATAAGAAACACACATATATTTCTTGACAACTAATATGTTAACATTTTATTATATAACAACTATTTTTAGTAATTACTTTTAATGATTATTTTTATAACTAGCCTAATAATTGTAATTTACAAAAATGTTTCTTGTAATTATTATTTTTTTTACTTTATTTGATGGTGAGACAAGAATGAGTTTATATTGGTTTAAAGTAGATTTCAATTCACTAGATCTGCGTTTTGTAAACTGTGGGTCCCAATTCTATTTTTGGTGGGTCGCGATAAGATCTTGAATGTATATTTTGGAGATTTCAAAATTCATGATATATGAAAAAATCACTATTCAAGTGAGTCGCTATAGATTGGGTTTTTAAAAAATGGTCGCAATGTTTAAAAGTTTGGGAATCACTGCACTAGATAATAATCTAGTGCAGTGATTCCCAAACTTTTAATTTTTTGTATAGACACTGTTAAAAATAATTTTGGAAACAATTTTGGGAGATATATTTGGAAATATAATGTGTTAAGTACGTATAATATAATTTACCTTAAATTATATTTAGTTGAAATAATTTGAAGTAAGAAATGCATGCGGCAAGGAGAACTTTCCATCAATTCTTCTCGTGTTTGATGCCAGAGAAGAAACAAAATACCCGCTCGCATTACGTAATAGTTGTGATAGTTGAAAGCATTTGAATGTAAAATTATGCCGGGGATCTATCGGAAACTTCAACAATAAACAAACTTTGCGGCCGGAGCAGCGCACGTAAATATAAATTACGAGTGCAGTTTGTAAATCTAATGGAAAAGTTTTTCGGCTGGGGGTTTTGAGGATGGAGAACGGAAGATGTAGAACGGGGGACTACAACTCCGACCCGTACCTCCTCTTTCAGATTTTCGTACATAATTCAGAAATCTGAGACACGTTGCAATTTGCCCTTTACAGAATACCTTTGTGTTCAGTTTATTTCAGGAATGCTGCTGTTCGTCCCGTCTCCATCCAACCCGAGCGGACTCATTAAGTGGGCTAATGATTCTGATGGATGGATGAGGGTATAGATGGATGGATTTCGTAAAATAACAATGAGACAGACAAGGATTTCATAATGGTTGAACGATCGGAACCATTGAATATCCTCTGCAGTCTATCTCTGCGGTAATCTTAAGACGGGAACCCTTCTCTTGGACATTAGGAATTGACTAATGTCCCGAGTGATCAAATGGGATTATTAGTGCAGCGCTAGCTAGGACTGTATGTATTCAATTTCCTCATCGATTCCGATTGGAACATACACGGAAGCAGAGCGTGAATCAAATTTTCGGCCAATCCCATCAACGTCCTTTTGTCTCCATAAAATTGGACAATTTGATGCGAATTGGTACGGCGAGCTTTGCCCAATCCGCTTATTAATTTCAAACTTATATGTTGTATTATTGCTCAATTTTTATTTTGGTTTAACTTGGCTCAGAATAATAATGTTATGTATGGTTGCATAATTGCGAGACACCCATACACGTCAGTACTTTGTATTGTTATTAAGCAACGTCAATAAGTCTTTCTCATTCTATCTCATACACATTCACCATCCCTCTTACTCTCTCTCATATTCTACCTCATACCCTTATGCCCGTCGACGAAGTACATTATTCCGCTTCGTGTACGCAACCCCCCAACTCCCAATCCTCATATACGTCCCATCCACTTTTCGGATTAAACTAATGCACTGTAAGTTATTTTAATCACAGCGCAAATATGTTGCTATGAGTACAACTAAACCTTCGTAACGCTCATTTAACATACTTAAAGCTCATAACTCAATTTGATTGCTACTTAATTTCAATATGTAAAAATGGTGGATGCGCTGGGTATTTACGTTACCAACATTTTTTGTCCATTAATCCATTGCACAAGTTTTTCATTTTTGTCAAAAATAAACTAAATGATAATTTTTAGAATAATCCTTTAATTTGACAATTTATTTTTTGATCCATAGCCAAAAAGATGCAAAATTTCGATATTTTATTCTGTTTATTGATAAAGCATTGAAATTAAAAGAAGTTGCCTAAGGCATTTGCGATATTATGAAGACACCTTGAATACTCAAAAGTTCCATATATGGTTTCAAATGTTACAAAATCGTGAGAAATTTAAATTAGAGAAATCTCTTAATATCTATAATGACATTTTAAACTTGTTCCAAAACTTTGTTGGTCCATGATCAACAGTGAAAGATCATTTGAAAAATCTTGGAAAAAATAAACAAAATTTGGGATGCTGTACAAATTTTCTACAACGTTATCGAGTATTGTTTCTGTTGTCCACAAATGAAACGGATCAGTTTCTTATAATAATTGTTACTCGGTATCAGAAATAGATCTTACACCTTGTCTCCTCCTTTTCCCATTAACATTGAAAAGGGTTTTCCCTTTTGTTCGTGAGATTTTTTGGGAATAATTCATTAAGAATTACTAAAATCTTGTCAGACTGTTACAGCTGAAGTGTATTATACCCAATTAGTAAGATTAAAAACAAAACTGCTTAAAAAATAACAGTTTTAGTAAACAATAAAAAAATCTATAACATGATAATGTAAGACCAAACGTTGCAAGGATTACTCAAGACAAAATAAGAGAGCTTGATTTAGACATTATGCAACATTCAGACTATCACCCTTTTAAGTCGAAAGAACATGAAAAATATATACAAATGTTGAACAAGTCTTTTTAAATATTTTATGTCACTTTAAAAAAATGTCATTTCTTTCAGCTTTACCTTATATATAGTGTTATATTACATTACGAGGAATCGTGTACTCTTTTATTTATCTCGAGATGAAATTGTAAAAATAATATCGTGAAAAATATGCTGTATGTCTTTGCATTATAAAAACCAATAAAAATAGTGTGTATAAATATGTCTATAGTGAAATATGTTCACGCTGGGAAATCGTTCAATAAAATTGTGAATGTCTTCTATACCACTTACATTCAGATTACATTGTTTCTATAAATTTTATATTTTATTGCGAAAAAAGTCTGAGATCAACAGACCAATTATTTTTTTATTACATTTGTTTCCTTTAGTGCTATATAAAATAAGGTATTACAACAAAATCTAGAATAATGTCTCTCCAGTGTAGTTCGGTTCAAAAATGTCTAAGCAAACTAAATTTGAAAATAACAACATAAAATTATTTTTATAAATTAGCACATAAAATTATTTTTTAATGTATAAATGTTCTCTCTATACAGTGAAGTAATTCTCCGATTAGTCTGGTTTCAAACAGTCCGGTATATTGGCGGAACCGAAATATGTGAGGTATTGCTTATGCTATGCAAACGTTTTTGGATATGAAATAAATAATTTAAATTTTCTAAAAATA